TTCAAATATCTATTCTTATTACAAGCCCTGATTTCTTTCGACTAAATTGGTTATTTTTGTTTCCTATCAGACAGGTGAACCCCGCCTGCCATCGCGCAGATCCGAAGCAGCCGGACCTCAGCTTCATGTATGACGCGCACTCTGACCGCCTGCAGCGTGGCCTTGGAAACCGGCATGGCCTGTTGCCCCTAAAGTTCGTCACTCAGCCCGACAGAGTGGACTCCTAACAATCGCTGGGACTGTTTACTCGAGACACTTAAGGACGGGGTTCATGATGACGCAGCACGAGGAACGCACCAAGAGCTTTCTGGTTCTTTGGTACGAATGGAGCACTCAAGATGTCCACTGGCTTTTTTTGTTTTAACCTCTGCGAGGAAAAAAATGGAAAGCATTACGATTACAATTTGACGAGCGTGGCGGGGTCGGCCACGCTAATACAGTATTCTTTCTCCCTGCGCCCAAACCATCGTGCACGTGTGCTAGCCATTTTATTGACGTGAGCTCTGCATGCAGACATCATAGGAGAAAATGTGACTCCCCCCCCCAATGCTTTCATAGTCGGTGACCTGATTCTCTCTGCGCTCCTGTACTTAGCACTTATATTCCCAAGTAACGTTTTGAAAAAGTTCTAGATGTTTTTTTTTTTTTACCATCTTTCGAGAAACGTGAATGAAAAAAAAAAAGATCTGGTGACTGACCCAAAGAACTTTCAATCTGTTACTTGGTTACCTGAAGCACAGGGCATGAAAATGAGATGATGTCATATGTAAATTCTGCTTCAAACTATGTTACAATGTGTCCATTTAATAATCTGAGAGTGAGGTTCTACGGGCAAGAGATGGAGGTGGAATACATGGACTCAACCTGGAGGACAAGCAAAGCTTTTCAGAAGCTGATGAACGCTGTAAGGTCACTGGAAATGGTAACGTTATATAAGGGAGAAAAGGTATTGAAGTAGTTGAGCTGAAAGTTGGGCAAAAAACTATTGGTTATGTATGGTTGGATAAGGTATGTAAAGTTGGTTGGTGATGTATTACCAAGGTTATCATTGGCCATTGTGCTATTATCACAAGCACCTTTGATGTTCAGTCTACAGTATATCAAGAGAGCAGTAACAAGCACATCGACTGGACATACATTCTTGGCAAAAGATCTTGAAAAAGAAACTAAGATCTGTACTATTCTTATAGAAAAATGGCTTCAGAGGGAAGATGGTAGGAGTCGGGATTTGGGCCTACTAGGTTTTAAGGAGGTAACAAGCAGGACAGTTGGGCATAAATCCTTAGCAAAGGCTTCAACAATAGAAGCGAGTTGAGATGGCTCCAGACAATGGAAAATAAAGCTTAGGATGATCATACAACTTGGAATAGAACCCGCAAACTAAGGAAAGGGTGGTTCTTGAGGGTTCTGTTAGCAGTTGGTGGAAGATCTGCTTTTCTTTAAAGCGTTTGCACACACAGAATTGATTTTTTGAGGGAAACTGGGGAGGTAGATCACCCCCTGGCTTCACTCCCTGGCTTCTTTGACCTTTCTAGCACTTTAGTGGTGAAATCTCTCTGATTTCTTAGATTTGCTCAACCATCTTGACCACCACAAGGGACTGTCGGGCTCCCCGATGGATTTTTCATCTTTTTTTAAAGTTATTTTTATATATATGAAGGAAAATACAGCAGCCTAGAAAGGCTCCAAGGAGCCAGGAGCCGGGGAAAATACAGCAGCCTAGAAAGGCTCCAAGGAGCCAGGAGCCGGGGAAAATACAGCAGCCTAGAAAGGCTCCAAGGAGCCAGGAGCCGGGGAAAATACAGCAGCCTAGAAAGGCTCCAAGGAGCCAGGAGCCGGGAAAGGAACTACATGAAGGGAGCTGTTTGCGGGTGAAGACTCTAATGCTAGTGGGCATGTCAGCCCACCAGGGTCCATCCATGACTGGAATATCAGTTTTGGTTGAACTAACCCTTGGATAGATGAACACATTTTGGAATCTGGGAGATCATTTAACCAACGCAAATGGTGGGCTGCAAATACCTTGCATGAACTAGGTTTCCTTTTTTTGCTCATTGCTAGATTTAGAAGCTCAATCCTAATCCCGGGGGTCAAACCTTTGCTGAAAATGCTCGACTCTTTGGTTTTGGAAAGAACGATGGATGGTTGTATTAAGGGATATCATTACAACTATATGTAAAGCAGTTAATGATCACTACCTTCAATAAACTAATTACTGGACTGAATGTATGTAAGCTACAATGCCCCTTACTCTTATCCTGGTGCTGTACTCATGGCTGCACTTTTCATTTTGGGGATTTTTTTGATCCCTGAAGCTTAAAGTTAAACCACTCTAATCCAATGAATAAAGATTTTAAAAAAGGCCACAAGTATGAGTAGGGGTGGTGGGGGATATAGTCAATTTTCTTTGTGTCAATGCATTAGTCACCTCACTTCTCACCAATGTAGTTTCTTGTAATGTTAAACAAAAACTGCACCAGTTAGTATTTAAAGGGCCAGTCCCCTTAAAACCGATACCATGGTCTTGATATATGCCAGGCTGAATCATTGGCCAACTTCTTATAGCAAGCTCTAAGACAAGATCTCTGCATCTGAGCAGCCAGGTATCTGCTGTGCCAGTTGTGATCTCAATACCGCGGTTGGTTATGCCATCGAGTTACTGTAACTTTACAGACAATGGAGCAGCAGTTATAAGACTCCGCAGTAAAGCTGGCAGCTCCAGGAACTCAGATGAAGAAGCCTAATTATTAAAATAGGATTAAAGCAGGTATAAGAAAGCCAGTGGGTGTTTTGTCCAATCTGCGCCTGCAATATCAGTTTAGGGTGGACGGTCCTTCTAAACAGAAACCTGAGTGAGAGCCTTAAGTGTTATGGGGGCTGTATATTTATTATTTGGGTCTTGTGTGTATGTATGAGCTGTATATATAGTTCAGGCAGGGCAGTGTTCGTGCTGGTTGCTTGCACTGCTGTATATAAATTGATGGACAGACATAGGTTGGTTAATCGGGGGCTGCACTCCTGTAGATAAAGATGAACATCGGTGGGATTGAGTGGGTCCTCATTATTATACATGATAAAGGATTTTTGGTCAGCTCTAAAAAACAAAAAGGGGGCTAAATTGTGTTATACAATCAGATTGAAAACAAGGTGGACAATAGGAGGCCTACACTGCTGTGTATAATGGATCGGGACACCTGGAATGGTTGAGGCTGGATGTTGGCTGACTTCATTGTCTACTATAATGGAGATGCTGTTATAGAGATGAATTTAATAAATATCTTAGTTCATGTCCCTTTTCTTTCCAAGATTCAACGTTGTTATCAAATGAACTCTCAAAACAAAAGCCAACTATCACAAAAAAACAAGGACATTAAATAAAAAGGTTTGGTAGGTGTGGGTTCCTGAGTGCTGGGTCCCCAGGGATTGCTTGCATTGGGTGTCTTCAAGGGTTGTGAATCACGTAAGGCAGCTGTCAAGCCAACAAGGGCCACTGAGTGGTACCTGGAACAGAGTTGAGTCCAGGTAATAGCATTGTTTGGAACATCTGTGATTAAGCCAATACCTTTGAGGGACTCTAGGGCATCCTCTTCATCAGGGCTTTAGATCGTCAAAGCGGCTTGAATCCAGACTGAAGAGCATGGCATGACTACAGATACAATTTCTGAACCTGATACCGGAGCATGTCCTATACACTCCCACCAGTTGTCTCTGCAATCATTCCATCTTCTTTAATCCAGATTCCAATCGCTTTGACACTTTAAAGCCCTGATGAAGGGTGGCTCCTAAAACCCCCAAAATGTGCTGTAAACAATACATTTGATCTGGATTCCACCACCTGCTTGGCGCTCTCTTATCTTTGGTCACCTGCCACCATTTTAGTTATTGTCCCTAAAAGAGAACTATGGGGTAAGTGTTTTTTCTCCATAGTTCTCTTAAGGGTCACGGGAGAACATATACTAGCGTCGTCCCGTGACCCAAAGCTCGGTATATAGGGAGCTACAGCTCGCGGTATACTGAGACCGCCGCAGCCGGGACGGATCCCGACATTACTGTTGAGATCCACCCAGCTGCGTGAGTGACAGCTGGCTCTGCCTATCTAAAAGCAGAGCCAGCTGTACCCGCCCCCTCCCCCGTCCGACAGTTTCATTGTCGCACGTCAGCTCCAACTATGAGTGATTGTCACTCACCTCATAGTTCTCCTTTAATTATATGGTAATCGTCCTTTAAAGTGTAACTCCAGAGGGAACTTTATTTGTTTTGAATAGACCGTAAAGGGCTAAAACTTCCATCAGCTCTTTAGGACATTTCTCCCCATTTCCTGGTGGCTGCTGTCTCCGGGGCAGGAAGTGATGGGACATCGTCCCCACAGGGACACAACCAGATCTTCCTAAAAAACCTGGCAGAGGTTCTAACTCATCTGCACCTTATCCAAAACTTTAAAAAAGATTGGTTGGAGTTTGGCTTTACATGGAGGAACTGAATTGTGATGATGAGACCTACAACCCTTAAAATTCTGGACAATGGATGTTGCTAGAGAGGTCTCCACAATTGCAAATAACTGGATTTTATAGACTTTATAAAGCACCATCAAACTTCTCCTGTCCTTGATGTATGAGTAAGTCGTGTAAATGAAAGGCTGGGTCGTTTGGTGTAGAGTGACCAGGCTAGGAACCTCGTAGGAGCTTTACAAGTGGGTGTATGTGGCTCTTGTTGTCTACCCTGTGCAGGTTCTAGTTAGACATGTGCGATTCGTTCGGTTACGAATCGAAATTCGTACGAATTTTCCTGAAATTCGTAAATTCGTAAGCATCCGAAATCCGAATTGCAGTTTCCGAATTATATCCGAAATATGAAATTCCGTTAACGAATTTCGGATCCGAATTTCTTTGAAACAGGAACTAATATTACCCCTGTAAATGAGGTTGAACAACATGACAAGATTTTTTTTTAAATCCGAAATACGGATCCACTACTGCTGAGAGTTGCATTACAATACACAGGCAGGAAATACGAAATTCCGTTGACGTATTTTCGTTCCGTTTCGTTATATGGAAGGTAAAAAGCAAGGTACATTTATATTGGAGTTGATGAGTTTTTTTTTAAGTCCGAAATACGAAATTCGGATCCGGAATCCGTTAACGGAATTCGTATTTCAGATACAAAAACAACTACCACATCGACTCCACAATATTAACAAAGGTATTTTTGCTTTTTAACTTCATCATAACGAATGTTCGTAAAGTTACGAAAATGTGCCGAAACTAACGAAAATCCGTATTTCGTACGAATCCGAATTGAGTTTCGGATACGAATTACGAAATACTAAATAATGGATATTACGAAACGGAACGAAACGGACACATTTTTTGACGGCGCACAAGTCTAGTTCTAGTATGACATTTACATTAGGAGCGGCAGTTCAGTTGTGGCTCCATATTTTATATTGTACATATCCAGATTAGATGGCACTAGCAGTTGTTATCAGTGTGGTCTGCCACCCTCTTCCATGCTGATTGCCATTGGCTATACCACCCCAGTGAAGGTTAAAGAGAACCGTATGAGTTTTACAAGAGTGTACTGGATATGGATGGAAGTCCATATAGGAATATATTTATTTAAACATGGAGGAAGCCATAATGGAGGTGAACCCATGCTCATAAAAAAGCAGCCAATCAACTCCCTAGGAGGAGGTGACATCTCTAGCTCCATGACTTCCATACTGCCCTATAGTCTATTCAGCCCATTTATCCATCCTCCAAGCTTCCACCAAGGCCACTGCCATTTTACACTGCTAGAACCCGGTTTGATTGGGGGAGGGGCTATAGACACAAATGGCAATTGTGTAAGGAATGGCACCACCGTGGCTCTTCAGCCCTAGTGATATGATTGGATGCTTTCCACTTAATTTCGGTTAAGTCTGCCAAAATGTAATGGCTTCCTTATTTTGGTTCACATGCAGATAATGGGCTAGCCACCCACATTATTCCCACCCACATAACTCTCAACCCCCCTTTTCCAAAAGGCCCTCAGTCATTTCCTGAAGAGCCCAATTTCTGCCCAGGGTTTTGGAATGGGCCAATGCCTACATTTTTCCGGTGTATGTACAACCGCTCTTGCTGGAATTAACCCTTGTCTGTTACATCAGCGCCTGTAATCTTGGTGTCTTATGCCATATATATGTATATTTATTGGTTTGTTTATTTATTACGCATATTAATAAAAAAAGGTGCTGAATAGAACCCACAAGCGTATGCTTTTTATTTCCTCATAAAAGGTACAAGAAAAAGACAATTCAGTGATCAACGATGATTTCAGGTAACGTTTATATTAGGGATGCACCAATACCATTTTTTCCAGACCAAGTGTGAGTACAATACTGTTCCTCAAGTACTCACCGATACCAATTACCGATACCTTTTTGTTTTCTTTTTTTGTGTGTGTCATGTGACAGTTTTTCTAAAACAATACAGACTAATGGTTTTAGGACAGTGGTGGAGCGCCAGGGACTGGTCGCAGCTGCGACCACCGTGACCCTGGTAGTTTTTCCACTGACTTCAAGCTGTAGTGGAACTACAAATTTCAGCAATATATTATATAGCAATGCAGAATACCACCAGCTATAGAGGACTACACATCCCAGCAATACATTATATAGCAATGCAGAATACCACCGGCTATAGAGGACTACACATCCCAGCAATACATTATATAGCAATGCAGAATACCACCGGCTATAGAGGACTACACATCCCAGCAATACATTATATAGCAATGCAGAATACCACCGGCTATAGAGGACTACACATCCCGGAAATACATTATACAGCAATGCAGAATACCACGAGTTATAGAGGACTATACATCCCAGCAGTACATTATACAGCAATGCAGAATCATATGAAGCTACATACTCTGTGTTGCTGTGGGGTGGTGACCTGATGTCTCCAAGGGCTCAGGAGAGCAGTGCAGGGTTTCAGGAAGGCTGTGCAGGGTCTCAGGTGGGGTGTGCGGGGCCTCGGGAGGGTTGTGTGGGGTCTCAGCAGGGCTGTGCGGGGTCCCAGGTGGGCTGTGGAGGGTCTCAGTAGAGTAACACTATGTGTGTATGTATATATATATAGATAAGACTTTATATCTGGTTAGAAGCAGGGCCGGATTTCCCACAAGACCAACCAAGGCCCGGCCTTGGGGCAGCAGGAAGTAGAGGGGCAGCGGGGGTGTGGAATTCCTATCTCCTGATGCCCGGGACACGCAGTTCTCGGCACCGGGCGGGTAGTTGTTTTCTACATTTAGCCCGGCTTTGGGCAAGCAGAGCAAACTGTACAGCAGGGAAGCAGCCACTTGTTTTTTACAAGTCGCCGAGATCACTTGTATGCAGCCTGCAGGTCTGCCATTCTCCATGGGGGGGGGGGTTTGGGGGCACATTGAGGAACCTGGCCTTGGGGCAGCAGAGAGAGTAAATCCGGCCCTGTCATCACTTATAGGAACCCTGTCGCCAGACAACTAACATGATATGTGCAATTAATGTGGCTTATGTGTGCTATTCACTTGTGTAGACATCCAAAAAACATTAAACCGCTGCTGGAGTCCGCCATCTTTGATGTGATGTCAGCAGCTTCCAAGTATTCCCCTTTTCTCCTCCCACAGCAGCTACATAACTGGTTATTTAGGGGAGGGGTGGAGAAGTTGGGCCAGCACAGAGTCTCAGAAGAGGAGAGGTCTATGATGTGCAAGGAGGGAGGGGTCCATGCTAGGAAGTTGACCCTTCCTGGAGTAGTCAAAGTCCAAAGGCACATTGCAAGTGAATACAAATAGCTTATGCAGAAAGCACTGCATACTTTATATTTCTGTCGGTTTACTTGCAATGTTTCTAAGCTTGGTGACAGGGTCTCTTTAAAGTAGAACTCCAGTCAAATTAAAACGAATAGCCCATTAAAAGGGTACGACTAACTTTCAATTTAGATTGAAGATAAATATTGCATCAAAAGCTGATGTTGTTATTTTATCTTTTAATGGGCTATGAGTAATTATTTTTTTTGCCTAGAGGAAACCAACCAATCATCTGAGCCTAGGGTGGCGGGAGGACACTAGTTTGTGTCCTCCCGTTACCCTAAGGAGAACTATGGGGAAAAGCCTTAACCCCATAGTTCTCCTTTAAGCATTGGAGAGACTAAAGCATTGCAAATAGAGGGCTGAATCTTCCTTGCAGTCCCTGTACAGCAGGAAAGGAGTGTGAGTGTGAATAGAAGCACTATGAGGAGCCAATTAGCTGGCAAGAAGCAAGCTGATAGGATGACCTTCCACTCAGCTACAACCTTCATAAACTGTTGGAAGAACCCAGACTTCACTTCCTTGGAATTTGGCATGCATGTGTCTGACCGGTGAGCCTCAAGAACAGCGGGTCTACAACGTAAAGCCACTAGACTCCCCACCTGTCATTCCCGAGGAGCTCCTTGTTTGACTATGGCCAATTCTAGTTTTGCCACAACAGATCAGTCTGTACACGTGCTTCTTACACTTTGAAGACCCCAAATAATACATAGCAGGGTCAAAACAACAGCTGATGCTGCCAACGCAGACCGAGAGGGTGTAGGCAAAAAACATGGAGTTGCCAACTGGCTTTTCTAAAGTCAGATAATAAACTAAAAAGATGATGTTGCTCGGGCCGAAGCAGAAGATAAATTCACAAAGCACCGTCACGCAGAGGAGCACGGACCGGGACTTTTTAAAGGGACTGTCAATGGTGGGCGAGCTCAGACTTCGGATGGTCGCAGCGTAACAGAAAGTTGTGATGATAAAAGGCAAAAAAAAGAAAACGGAGATGTAAGTGGTGAAATAAGGAAAGTAAAAACTCTGAACGTCCTCCGGTTCCTGCGTGTGGCAACAAGAGGTGATGTTCAGGTGGTCAATATGAACCGTTAGATTGCTCATGAGTAGCGGCACGGTGGCGGTGATGGACACCATCCAGATGAAGAGACAGACTAGCCAGGCTCTGCCCACTGTGCGCCATAAAAGAGACTGCACGGGATAGACCACCGCCAGGAACCGGTCCACGCTGATACTGGTCATGAGCAGGACGGAGCAGTACATGTTGCAGTAAAATGCCGCAGTGACGAAGCGGCACATCCCTTCTCCGATGACCCAATTGTTTCCTGAGAAGCGGTAAACAATATTAAAAGGTAGAGAGGTGACGAAGAGGACATCAGCGACCGCCAAGTTCAACATAAAGACCACTGCCGGTGACTTTACTTGACTTATGAAAAGAAATATGAAGATCGCCATTAAATTTAGAGGCAGTGACAGGAGGACCACAACCGTATAGACTGAAGGAACAAATGTGGTCAACCAACGGCTTTGAAGATAAGCCAAAACTTCATCGGAAAACTCCATGGACGTCTCGTTACTACTACTGTCATCTGTTTCATCTAAAAAAAATAAAAGATAAAAAGGTTATTATATTCAACTGCACAAAACACTTTCATCCGTACTGCATCTTGATGGCTGACAAAGCATTGGTAATAGTCAAAGTGGACCTGGTGTCCGATATGTCAATGCATGTGTGCTAAGCAATGTCTGTCAGACATACCAGGGAGCTGGTAGCGTGTAAGGAACCCACTGGGAGGAAGCGGCTGATTAGTCCAGAAACGAAGTACAATTTAGGGAAAATCCAAGAGAGAAGTCAAAGTCCAGTCCGGGTCGAGGCAGGCAGCGAAGTCTCAGAGGCGAAAGACAGTCCAAGGTTCAGCAATCGGGACGTACAACGAAGGGGGCAACAGGCAACAATAGGATCAACAGGGAGGCTAGGTGTTCACACCATAAGGTGGAATAACTCAGCAATAAGCCAGGGCTCAGGCCAGGTTTTTATAGCCAGGGGAGGTAAGACCACCCCCCGGTAACTGAGGCAACCAGGAGGCTTCTCTCCCCTGGAACCAATGGCAGGCGAGAGAGATGGAAGATGTGTACTTTGAACCTCCCCCAGCAAGGCTCACACCTGATAGCCGGATGGCGCAGAAGCGCGATGCGCACGCAGCCTGCGTACTGTGCATGCGCACCCACATCCCGGGCACCAGGAGTTCTACTAAGCTGAAGGGGAACCCGTGCCCTGCGCCGTGCCCGTGGTCCCCCATGAGGTAACACCCCCTGCTTCCTGACAATGTCTCAGTGTAACACCTCCAGGTATTTATTACCTCTCACAGAGATCACACTGATAATCACAGTACCCCTCTGACAATGTCTTCATCTGCTATTCTCTTCAGAAGGATGGCACCATCTTTGTTCAGGCATCATCCAGGGTCATCATCTACTTACTGGACAGAGATGTCACAATCATGTAAATCCTGGAGCCTGCGCAGTTCTTGGTTGTGTTCACAAATGTCAAGGGATGTGCTCAGCCACCCATGTTCCTTTTTTACTGGGGGGGACAATGTATTCTTATTTTTACACCCGTTGATGGCTGTTCCCAACTTCACATACAAATGTTTGGGTGGCTGTAGAGCCACCTGATCGCTTGTATGGTGCGCGGGATTGTGAGGCCCTCTCCACTGCTGCCGAAGGCTATCTTGGGTTCTGCTGTCCTCTGTGCACCTCCAGCGGCTAATCTCCCCTCCGATCACTTCTGGTTTCACTCATTAGGGGTATAATAGACCCCCGATGTCTTCATAAAGAGGACCTGTCATTGTATCTGTACTTTTCACATAAGGGGCTTGTGATGGCAAAAAAGTTAAGTCTAAGTTGATTTGCCTACGTGCCAAAACAACAACTGCGCCACACATGTCACATATCACCGAGAACATCAGAGTACGCTTAATAATTCTAGGACCGTTAATCACCGTTACACTAAACTAAAGAGTGGGAAAGGATTTTAAAGTGTCGCCTATGGACAATTTTGGGTATGGTAAGTTTTTTGCAATTTTACAGGCACACGCAACTTTAAGGCTTGACATTTTTGGTTTCTATATTCATAAAATTGGGTAAAAATAAATGTTTCATAACATAACCTACAGAAAACAGGTTTTTAACAGAAATGTTGCCACTTTTTTTTTATAGTAAAAAAAACAAAATAGCCCGTACAGCAGCCGAGCGGAATACATATGCTTCGGCTCGACTGAGCTGAAGTGCCGTTCGCCTTGCAAATGACAGCTGGGTTGTAATGACAGATTATCGTCCCCAAATGACCCGGGGGCGCTGATCTGTCATTAAACAATAACAACTGGGCGGAGCCCCCCTTGACATCACGGCCGGCACTGCCCAGTTGTTATTCATTGGCCGGGACCTGCTAGAAGATTGTAGCAGGTGCCAGCCAATAGGAAACAGTTGGGCAGAGCTAGCTGTCGACTGCTAGCTCCGCCCAATTGGTTTTCTTTTTTGTTCTTTTTTTCTTTTGCGATTTGTTCACATTTTTATAAATGTTTTTTCAACCTGTTTTTTTTTTCCACTCTTTTCACTGATCTTCTATTCTGCTTGGTACCATGGAGGCACTGAGCAGAATAGCCGAGCTGAATGCCGCTCGGCGGCATTCGGCTATCCGCTCACTGCCTTTCTGTCCCCTATGAGAAAAGGGGGGAACGGCAGCGAGTGAACTGCCGGAGCTTCAGCTAAGCCAATCCAGATGTTGGATCGGCTGAGTCGAAGTCATTCTGCACCGAAGGCTGCCGTACAGAGCCAGAAGTGAATAGCCGAATAGCGTTCAGCTCACTTCACTATCGAATTCTCAAATTCAGAGCGGTGCAGAGCTTCTCCTAGGCTCCTCTTCAGTTTTGATGTATCACATGACACAAAGCCAAGGGGAAGCCTAAGAGAGACCTTCACTTACCGCACCAGGAACTGCTCTGCATCAAACTTCCATGGTAGAGTGTTTTGCATTGAAGGAAGGAGGCATTTATGTTGGGGATAGATGAGAAGATGAGAAGAGATTTTTCTTGTCACAGCACACTATGCTGCACCATTACTCTCCTTAGTGTGTCCAAAGATGCTTCCAACCTTTCACAATCCTTGCCACGCTTCTGCTAGCTAAGGTTCCAATCTACAAGTACAGCACACCTGTAGCGTCAATGGAGGCAATGAATGCTGCATTGATGTTGAGGCATCATGTTGATACCTCCTTCATTTGGAACAAAATCCCTCTGTCCCTCTTTCCTCCTCAGTTGTCCCCCTATTTAGTCTCATGTACAGATAGCTATGAAAAGGTTCTATTTAAGTACCAAAAGTGTTACATTGCACTACTAAAATAATTTAGAGATAATTATTTTATTTGCTGTTTTAAAAAGCAAAAATAATGGTGGGAAAAAAAAGTCTAACCAATCATTTTTGGCATATAAACTCCTAATGGTCCACATAGTTGGGGCCTGGCAGGGGTGAGTCTATCGCCTAAATGCATTGTGCTAGAAGGTGTCCCCCCTTTCTCATCTCAGAAAGTTGGGAGGTTTGGTCAATGGCAATGTTACACCATGTCAGTGGCTGCTCACTCTATGTACTCCAAATACTCAAAGAAAAAACTTATTGGAAACGTGCATCAATGTGTGTCAATAACATCAATGTGTGTCAATAACATCAATGTGTGTCAATAACATCAATGTGTGTCAATAACACACATTGTTACACTCCTTAGCCCCCCCCCATGTAATAGCAATTAAGTTGTGTGTAAAAAAAAAAAAGTAATACAAAAATTAAAGAATCATAAAAAAGTAAAGAAGCATAAAAAAAGAAAATATTTTTTTAAGTCCCCGCCCCCCACATACACACGCAGATATGTGTCGGGTTGTGCCGCACATGTTACATGTCGCCGCAAACGTCGGAGCGAGAGCAATAATTTTAGAGCCATTAATCACTGATAATACTAAACTGATCAGCAATAAAAGCGCTTTAATCATCACATATGGGCTTTTTTCTGCGATTTTGCGGGCGCACGCACTTTTAAGGATTGGCATCTTTGGTGTCGATTTACCCGACGTGACCCCGACTTTTATGTTTTACTAATAATATGGTTAAGAATAAATGTTTTATAACAGAACGTTGGGAAACTTTGGGTTATTTTTTTACATTTATGGTACTTTTTTCATTATATAGTAAAAAAAAAAAACACTCCAGTGGTGATTATATACCTCCAAAAGAAAGCTCTACGTGTCCCCAAAAAATGTTAACATAAATTGCGGTCATGCTGACTGGTGACATTTTTGACTGACTGGTGAGACACCATCACATTTTTCAAGCCCTGTGTGTATATATATATATACACCCACACAAACACACACATATGAGAATATATTTATATATGAGGAAACAAAAAATATGACAATATATATATATTTTTAAAAATTCATATTACTGGTCCGTGGGATTTAAAATTATGAATTTAGTGGTCCATCTGGTCCGAAAGGTGGGCGACCGCTGCTCTAGCATCAATGGTTCTTCCAATAGCTTGGTTCTGGTACTCCTTGGTGCGGGTCTTTGAGGCGTATCTGAATCCAAGATCCTGCTTGTAACACACTTCCTGTCCTAGGGTGGCAACACTCAGCCACCCACATCTCAGAAAGTTAGGTGGTATGAATTTGAAGGAATCCAATAAACAGGCAAAATGCACCCGACAAAAACTTTTTTCAAGGCGCTGAAGCACTATGCCCTGGTGGTAATGGGCCCCGTGTGTACTTCTCCATGCCAAAGCCGTTTATCTGCCCTGAGAAATGCCACACACATACAAAGAAACAGAACTGCATGTAATGTATCTTGTCTTTCCTAAACACTAAACATACACCGGCTCAGCAACGATAGCCACGGAAACCATTACAAGATGTTGTAGCAATTTAATTCACTCTTTAAAGTGAAATCAGAAAACAGTTAATAGTAGATGCAGTTGTATTATCTCCTTCGCCTGTTTCAGACATCCCAACTCTCCGGGACGTTCCAGGAGTCTCCCGCTATTAGATAGCGGCTCCCGGGAGAGAAACATTTTCTGCCGGAAAGGTTTACTCTGTTTTTTCTTTCTGACCTCAGGGGCCGCCGGCCGTCAGAGAAAAAACAAAAAAACAGCATAGGAATGAACAGCTAGATTGCTATTGGATATTTCAATTTGCAATAGCCAATAGCAGTCTAGCTATTGCACCAGCCCTCTGCGGCTGTCAATCAGCAGAGGTGGACCTGAAGTTCTCTATCAGGTCCTCCTCTGCTGATTGGCAGGAGCAGGGGCGCGGGTGCAATAGCCCATAGCAATCTAGCTATTCATTCCTATGCTGTTTTTTTTGTTTTTTGTCTTATTCTGAAGACAGCAGCTGTCAGAATACTAAAAAAAACAAACAGCAGATAGCACGGGAAGCATTAGCTTCTTTGCTATCTGCCATCATTTCAGGAGGGTGCTTCCCCCC